TAATAAAGATAATAAAGTAATAGAAGATTCTAGAGGTAATATAGGTAATAAAGGTGATGAAGGTAAAATCGGTGAAGACATAGATCAGTAGTACAAAGATTATTCTAGAATAGGACAATATTACAAGGGTAAATATTACTAAAAGTAATACAAGGGGCAATGTAAATCTTGAGCGAAAATCACATGTAACAACGTGTCAATTAATCAGTCAAAATTTCAGCCAATTATCAACCAGATTCTGGTGTAACAAAAAATTCAGGGTCAAACTGAGGTAGACAAAATTCCTCAGAAAAACCAAAAAAAATTTGCCATGTTTGTAAGTATTATTACAAATATATATAATTGATAAAGAAAGATTATATACCTAAATAAATAGGTTCCTACCAGCTTATCTATCCACCTGGACCACAGGATTTCAATTTATAGTAAATCCAAGGTTCTTATGGAGTTTGGAAAAAAATATATTTACTTGATATATCCAATTAGCTTATTCACCTGCCTTAGACCGAAGGTTATTTATTTATAATGGATTCAAGATTTTTATAAAGCTTGGGAAATACATTCACTAGTGGTTCACTTTTTGGAGTTTCAGATCTAAGAAGAATATAATAAAGGATATTTTTTTGACAGGTTTCTTTTTCCCAGTAAGGTGTTTTTGCCATAAATCAAATGGGTAAAATTTTGTTTATTTTGTTATTGAAATATACAAAGTTTTTAGAAAAAGGAAAGATAAACAAGTAGAAGAAATACTAGTCTTCAGGAAGTAAGGTTTTAAAGAAAGTATATAGACTTTATTATCAAAAATAAAGAAATATTTTTAAGAACGTCTGTTTTTTTGGGTTGGCAAGGGGATTAGCAGAAAGAGTTTTTTATATGATTTCAAATCTCTTTATTATTATAAAAATCATTTTTATTAATATTATTATACTTATTAAACTTATAAATATTTTTCAAAAAATATACTTAAATAAAGTTGTAAAGTCTAATAATAACAATTATAATAATAAACAATTTCAAGTATATTCTACTATTCATGATAATAAAAGTCTTATTAACAAGTTTTAAGGAATCAAAAAGATAAGATTATAAGTTCAGCTAGGATTTTCTTAAAGATATAATTTTTATTTTCACAGATTTTATAATTTATTTGACTTAGTTTTAGTTTTAGTTACTTTTATTTTTTTTCTATTTTTTCTAAATATAAAAACTTTTTTTTTAAGTAAGTAGATATAGCCACTATTTAATCTATGTTTAATAATTTAAAAATTATTTTTTTTTACTAGTTAAATATAGTATGAATAGACAAGCTAATATTTAATTTATTGTATGCCTTTGCATCTAAGAGATATTGTTTTTTTTAATATATGCACACTTATATATACAAAAATAAAGAAATAATATTTACCTACTTAAAAAAAAAAAAAAAAAAAAAACAAAAAAAACTTAAATAGTTAATATTATACAGTAATAGCTTAATAAACTTATTTTTTTATAGTGAGATAATTAATAAATTAACGATTATATACAAATCTATAAATAACTTATTGACAGATATTTTGCTATAAGAAAATAGTTTGGCTTTAATATGATATTACATTGTATATTGTTTTATTGTTTTTTTGAAGATATCAAACATGTTTCTAGCAGTTAGATTAAAAGTAAAAAACTTAAATTAATAAAAAATTAATTAATAAAATTAACAAAAAGTAAAAAAAAAAAATTTAATTGTAATTTAATCGTTTTAATAAGAAATTTTAACTTGTATATAATATTATATTTTGATTATTTGCTTTAATTTTAATTTATTTTAAATAAATATTATTTATATAATTAATTGGCTTATAACATACAGTACTAGTTATAGTATATTGTGATGTCTTCATTTTTAATATTTATGTAGATTTCGTTATAGGTATAGACTTTATCATTATATTTTAAATAAGTTCGATGCAACATTATTTCGTGTTATAAAAGGTACTCAATATAATATATTTGTTAATGTTTTTTATTTCCACAGTAATACTCACGCCGACTACATTCTTTAAATCATTACACTTTTATTTTTTCTTCGAGGTTTAAATTGGTTCATTATCATCTCCTTTCTGTTTAATTCTTATGATCCACTCATTCTCCTCACTCTCTCTTTTAACCAACTTTCTTTTTTTTATGCGACTCCTTTCTTCGTCCATTTTGTACATCAAAATAATAAATGGTAACAAAATATAATAATATGCAAAGCTTATTACAAAAAGGCCTACAATTACCCATGACGAAACAGCTGCTTTTAAATGATATTCACATGTATTGCACAATGGAACTTCAATATCTGGAGTAATATAAGTTCCATTATTTAGGTAGAATTCCGGGTTGTATGGGCGTGGACATGTCAACGGTTGACCGCGGAAATAATTGAGTGATGTGGTAAATGCATAAATGGCGGAAAGGATTAGACCGATACTATTGCGTTGAATTAGCATTGGATTAATAATCATTAAATCATTCTACCCTTGAATTTTTTCGAGACGTAAACATTGAACAAATTTTGTACGTACGCTGTTGTCTGTGGAAATATTCCCAACGTTAAATTTATCACTGACAAAGAAACAAGAAACGGTAAGTAATTGTGATAATAGTGAAATGAATACTTTCGCAATTTGAAAATTAGTATTCACCGCTCAATAATGTGACATTCCAAAACCAGACATAGAGTTTAACTCCGAATTGGCTATAATTTTAATTGGAATTAAAAAAGCTTACGGTCAAAGAGATGAGGAATAAAGCGAATGCTGATACTACTTACTCATAATTCGTAAAATATTCTTCCTCACTGGTTACTTCATTGTAAAACCTGTCTTTTATTCTTATTGCTTGATTATAATTCTCTAGCTCACGATATTCTAATTATAAGTGAAAAACAAGAAACTACTAATTTGTTATATGAATGGAAGGATTTTATGTGAAGCAAGAAATATCAATAAAATATAATTACGAGCGAATCAATCACTTTTGGAGCGTACCAAAATATATACAACTTAAACAAGAAATTGTCCCAAAGCTCATCATGAATAATGCTACATAATTTCTTGTGTAGAGGATGGATTTTTCGTACAAATCGCTAAATATTAATTGCGAATTTGTCGTGAGTGGTGTATATCTTGTATAAGGCATTAGAGCAGATTTGTGAGAATGCCACTTCCCCAAAGTCCGAAGTCCTATTTATTCGAGTTTATTCCAAAAATAGACGAAGGATTTGCTCATTATAAAAAAAGAACTTATGCAATGCATTCCGAATAAGAATGCAACGCATGTACATATAAATAGATTCATTCAAGAGCCAGACTTGTTTGTGAATAACACGTCAGCCGATTGTAACCTGCTCATGTCTTGTTATTGTATTTTACAAAAAAAAAAAGAAATCATACCGTAAATAAAAATATTAATGAATTTTCATTTATGTAGCCTAGCCTAGTTACATTTTTTTTTTTAAGAATAATATTATTAGATTTTTATATTATTTAATAGTGTACAATGTGTAAAGAAAAAATTGCAATTATACAGTATTGGGCAAAATGTAATTTGAAGAAATTAGAAATTTTTTTATATTATTTATTCAAAATAATTTTTTTTTATGCAATAAAAACAAATATTTATTATATTTATTTAATCTTGAAATAATTATATAAAAATATTTGTATTTAAAACCAACTTTTATATTTGAATATTTATATTTGATATATTAATAATTTAATGATTAATTAATTAAAATAAAAATATATATTTGTATAATAAATTAATGATATAAAAAAATAGAATTATATAAATTTTTTTTTAAATATATTAAAACAATATTATTAATTATAATTAAAAAAAATAACAATTTATTATTTCTATTTTTATATAAAATATAAAAAATAATAATATAATTATTAATATTATTTCAATATATTGTATTAATTAATTAATATAGTTTAATGAAAACTTTATATTTAATACTTGTTAAAATAAAATTATTTTTTAAATTATTTAAATTAATATTAATATTTTAATTTTTATAAAAATTTTTTTTATTATATATATATACAGTATTTTTAAATTTTAATTAATATTTTTTTATAAAATAAATAATTAATTATTAATAAAATAACAATTTCTTTTTTACAATATAATAAAAAACTATTTGTTAAATATTATCAAAAAAAGTAAGTAACTTAATATTAAACTAAAAATATATTTATAAAAAAATATTTTAATTTATATTTAATGAATTTATTGTATATATTGAAATAATCTTAATAATTGATTATCATTATTTTTTATAATTTAATATAAAGTTAAAATATTTATATTTAATTATAATTTAAGTATATTATTTTATATAATTCTATTTTTTATATTTTTAAATATATATATATAAATTTTCATTTTAATTAATTAATTAATTAATTAGAACAATAATTTAGTTTTTTTCAATTATCTTTGTTCTATACTATATACAATATATAAATAAAATAAATAAATAAATAAATAGAAATTAATAAATAAGAATAAACAGAATAATAAAATGATAATATTAAACAAGATAAAAAATTAAATTTAATCAATAATAATTAATCAAATAAAACCAAATAAAATAAATATAATTTATTATTTTAAAAATTATATTCTAAAATTTAAATTAAATAAACTATATAAACATTGATTGATTACAGAATTTGTTTTATAAAAAAAATTTTTTTTTTCACGATCAGAAATGATTGCAAAATTTTATATTATTTATAATGGCAATATAATATCGTTTACTTTCTCAAAGCTCCAGCATGTAATCATCGAATTAAAAATTATCGAACATGACTTATTTATAAAAGATAATTTAAATCCTCATATGTACAATCACGATAACTATCACTAGCTAACTTAAACTTTAATATGGATCTATAATATTTAGCCAACTAAATTAAAGGCGGGTTGTTTTTTAAAGGGTTTATAAGAATAATGATAATGAAAGTTCAAGGTCAATTTCAAAGATATTACAACTTACCTTTATTGGAAGTCTTTCTTCAACCACACGAAGTGGATGAGGTATCACATGACCAGATTCCCTAAATAATAAAGCTCAATTATAAGGAACGATGACGCCAAGTAATCAGCTAATTTTAAATTTTAATCCTACCATTCCAGAAACACTACTAATTTATTGTTCGCATTTAAGTCAATCCTCCAAATATCAGTAACATCGATCTCCCAGTCCTCGGACTTTCTGCAGGGACACGGTTCTACTTCTGAATCATCATTTTCGTAAATGCATTGGGATGAAATATCATCATCATCCTCGGGAATGATAACCGAGTTAGAACCTTCATAAAAATCCTTATTTAATAAAACTCCAGGATGCTGTCTTTTAGATCTACTATGTGATGGGAATTGTTCACGTGAACGTGAGTTTGTTCTTTGCCTAGATTGAGAACGAGAGGTTGTCCTTTGTCCAGACTTTGAGCGACCTCTCACCGGTGATGGTGATTGCCGCCTCCGTTTTGATGATGGCTGAATACTTGAAGACCGCGATGATGGTCTCTTTTGTTGGGCAGAGGGAGACACTGATCTACCGACTCCACTTCTCGAGAGTGGATTTTTTCTAGATGCACCCGAACGACTGTTGCAACTCCAATACTCATCCAGTAACTGTCGAGCATTTCTAATTTGTATTTTAATATTGCGTGGGGTTATATTGTTTTAATCACAAGCGCGTGATTTTTATCAAGATTTAAAAAAACACTTACAAATCCCTCTCGTCAACCCAGCTGTTGAAAACGGGATCCCACCCTTTCCATTTAATATAATATTCAAAACAATGCTAATGATTGAAGAAAGTTAATAGAATAACCTAGAGTTTTGATTTAACATATATGATGCATGATAATTACCTTAAGATCATCATAATTGTGCTTGAGAATCTTCTCCACCTCATAAAATTTTTTAGATGATTCGGTTGATTCTAATTCTTTTTTGATGATATGACGTGATTTTACCATTTGTTAGAACATAATAAGGTATGTCTTGTACTGAACTCAAAAAGAAAACTTTATTATTATTATTATATTTTGGTCATCTTTAGACATGTTTAATTGGTCAACTCCATATTAGGACAAAATAATCTGAACGAACACGAACTTTCGACGTATATTACCTTGACAAGCGTCTTCGTCTTCATCAGAAGATTCTGTTGTCCCAAAATATGTCTGGTGTATATCACCATTTCTATTTGTATGTTTCGAACGTGTATTGCGCATTTCCAAGCAAGAGGTTCATGGAAGAATAGGCGTGAGCTCATAACTAAGCAAGCAATTGAGAAGAACCAAGCTGTGATTTGATATCTATTGATATTATCATCGCATTGATCAATTATAGTCGGTGTCATTACTTGATATATATCAAATGAGTCATTGTAATTTACCATACATCGCTTTGCAAAACATCAGAGCTCAATAATAAGAAATAGTAGGTGTTGCTTATTGATCGATTAGAAAAATATAGTGTAATTTTATAGTTTTATGCCATAAATAAATTTTACTATAACAAATTTAACGTCATTGATTTGTCTTTGAAATTATATAATGTTGAATCATTTACTAACTGACTGTCCATTGAATCACCTTCTCGTGTTCATCATCCTCCCATTCACTTTCCCATCCGTTCTCCACAAACCATTCTACCACTTCTCCACCTATTTGTTCAATTTCCTCTACCAAGCCATCTAAAAAATTCTCATTGATTGCCTGTGAATTGATCACGACTCTGAAAAATGATGGCAATTCTAAATTGCCTAAAGTTATTGGTGAATAGTCGAACATATACTTTCCCCTCTTTCTAATTCTATGATGGATCTCTTTAGTTATATTCGATAACTTGCATTTAAATATTTTATATTCTTTGAGATAATTTCCCCATGAATTTTTCTCTCTCTGGTTTTTGCTCTCGCCATTTGTTTTCAGCTCATTATCACTATTACTCGTTTCCAATAGTACTTTGTCTTCTCCATTTATTTTAATCCGCAAACCATTTCCATTATTTTCATCATTCTCTCCAACCAGCCAATACTCTTTGATCCCCTCCGGCACATACCAGAAGCAAACTTGCAAATTCTGATGTTCTTTCAATACCATTCGGAACCGCTTGTTGCTCTTCAACCTCCTTGATAAGTATTCGCTCATCAGAAACAAATGTTCGATTCTTGCACGGTAACCTTCGGTACCAAATATTTTCCATCCGATAAACAACTTTACTGCATCAGGTTTACGACCACACCCTACGGTGTTGTCACCTAAGTCATACTGACTATCCCCCTGATGAAATAAATACTCGGCCCCTAGTGAGTTTGCGTGGGCAAATATTTGAGAGTTTTGAGCAAGTAAAAATGAACACTGTAATGGAGTGCCTAACATTTTATGAGGATTAATTACTATCGAGTCAGCCTTTCGTATAGAGAGATCAATTATTATATTAGATTTGATTGTATATTGATGCATGTAAAACGTCGTTCATGTACAATCCATAGACTAACCAAGTTGGATCCATCAAGCAGATATTTGTGCTTCTCCGAAAATATCACGCTTCCACCCCACGATCCATCCACATGGAACCAGATGTTATATTGCTTTGCTATTTTTCCTACTGCTCTTAATGGGTCAAATGCACCCTAGATCATTGATCATAAAGACATACAAACAATAAATATATTGTCACACTCACAAAAAATGTTATGGTTTCAGCACCTACCAGAACTGTGGTACCGGCAGTGGCATTGACGAAGAATGGAGTTTCACCTCTTTGCAATGAGAGC